AGCAACCTCCAACTCCTGCGCTCAAGTGAGTCTCCTGCCTCAGCCTCCCAAGTAGCTGGGACCACAGGCGCCCGCCACAACGCCTGGCTATTTTTTTTGGTTGCAGCCCTCATTGTTGTTTGGCGGCCCGGGCTGGATTCGAACCCGCCACCTTAGGTGTATGTGGCTGGCACCTTAGCCACTTGAGCCATAGGCACCGAGCCATCTTCATCACTTTAAATGATTTCTCACCTTGCCTTTTAACAGGCCATTGGGACCCAAAACTTTATTAAAAATATGTTTTCCCACATGAGCATCCACAGCAGACAGGGGATCATCCATAATGTAGATGTCTGAATTCTGATAGGTAGCTCTGGCCAGGCTGATCCGCTGCTTCTGGCCCCCACTGAGATTTATACCCTGGAAAAGAAAATAATTTCTATTAAGCACTACTACCTAGTGCCACCTGTACAGACTCTAACAAAGAGGGATAAAAGGAAGAAATTTACCCCAATAAGTTGTCAAAAGCTTAAAACTTTTTTTTTGGAAAAGAGTCTCACTGTGTTATCCAGGCTAGAGTATTGTGGTATTAGCCCATCTCACAGCAACCTCAAATTCCTGACTTCAATCTATCTTCCTGCCTCAGCCTCCTGAGTAGCTGGGATTACAGACGCCCACCATAACACCTTGCTAATTTTTCTAGTTTTAGTAGAGATGGGGGTCTCATCTTTGCTCAGGCTGGTGTTGAATTCCTGAGCTCAAGAGATCCTCCTCCTCCCTCGGCCTCCCAGAGGGCTGGAATTACAGGCATGAGGGCACGCCTGGCAAAGGGCTTAAATCTTTTATAAATATATAACTTTGATTCAAATAAATAACTTTAGGCTCAATAATTAAAAATATGCTCAACTAACTTACCATTTCCTACCATATAATTTACTTATTTAATATTTTTGTCGCTTCCCACTCCATGAGAATGTAGAGCTAGCTATATCACGGCAGAGGCTCTTTTCTCTGCTGTTCATGGATATAACCCCAGCACTTAAAATAGTGTCAGATAGGTGGCGCCTGTGGCTCAAAGGAGTAAGGCACCGGCCCCATATGCTGGAGGTGGTGGGTTCAAACCCAGCCCTGGCCAAAACC